AGAGCCATGTTAGAAACTTCATCACCATCTCTTGGAATATAACTCAAACAAATGTATGATCGCAAGAAATTTGTGCATGAATTTACGAGCTCATGGGTAATTCGGAATCTTGGAGAAGCTTCTGCTTGAACTTCGTAGAAATTGCATGTCAGCGATACAATTGCAGTTCCAGTTGATCCTTGACCAACAGAAACATCCAATTGACGAGCGTAGGGATCTAAATCAAATGACTGAACTGATAACAAATTATCTGGGTTTACTACAACATTGAACGGTGATCCATTATCTGGATTCAACTCAATACTCAAAGTTCCAGCTTCTGCTTGGAATGCGATAGCAAATGCTGATAAAGCTCCCAATGCCACGACAGTATCTTGACTGGAGCCATATCCACCAAAAGAATTCTTTTGAGAAGTGAGATAATCAACAATTTTAACACCTGTAACAAGATCATTCAATTGCAAGACGGCGCTTAATCCATAACCTGTCATCTCAATATCCTTCGAGCGAGGTTGCGAATTATACCACCAAGCATCTCCTTCATTAGCGGCTGCAGGTTCACTCCAATATATTTGCTCGGCTGTTTCAATTTTTCTATTTAAAAGTTCGTTGTAAACCGTCAAATAATTTACATAATTAGGATCATTAGGATCTGCAAAAAGTAAAGCATAGCTTGAAATCGCTAAGGTGTATGTTTCAACGGATTCAGCAGAAATAATTTGATTATAAATATATGCAAATGTTTTATCTCTTGCTACTAAGTAGGCAGCATGTTCATTTGCATATTCAGGATCATTTAAAAATTCCGATAAAACGATTGAAATGTAAGCAGTCATAGCTAGTTTTCCACTTGATCCTCCTTGCATATCCTTGTGAATAACATTTCCATCTTCTCTGAAGCTTCCTTCTATAGAAGTAAATATTAAGGTTGTTTTTGAGAATATTCGTAATTAAATGTTATAAAATAAATGGCTCATAAAATTGAAACGAAGAGAGTGCAAAAATTTGTCATTTTAATCTTATGAACCATTTAAAATTCGGCGAATATTCAGGCGTATATTTTACCTTCTTCACTTCCTACTTCTGTATCTTGTTTCGAAAGTATGAAATTCAATCCTCTTGTTATCACATCAGGATCAATAGTGATGTAAGGTTTCGCTTGTCGGAACGACTTCACAGTATACGCTGTCAGCCACGTGCTTCCTACATTATCAGAATTTCCAAAAGCTGAGAAAGAACCATCAGTTCTCTGGAAGGTCAATTGTCTTTGATAACCATTCTCCATGAAAGAAATTGATTTGCCTCTTAGTTCATCACTTAATTGCCCTGTTGATTCAAGATATACGGTAGTCACTATGGTGGGAACCAAGTTAAGCAAATTTTGCTCTCCACAACCATATGACATTTGAATTAACCCATCCAAATTATCCAATACATCCCCTAATAAATCCCCAACAACTGTTGCTGTAGCTGATGTCGTATCGTCTACAGCTGTTGGTGGAAGAACACAAGTCAATGATTGATAAAAAGTTGTATCAGAATTTTCCTTCAATATCAAAACTGAATGTGTAATGGATTTTGGGATTCCTTCGGGAATAACTTTCAGAGGTTTCACAACACTATCGCCAGCTAAAGATCCGATAGCTGTTACACTGATATCAATGAAACCAATAATCTTTGGTTTGATGACTATTCGCAAGACTTTTATATTTCCAGATGTTGAAGTAAACACTTGAGAATATTTATCAGCTTCAGCTGAAAAAATAATTTTTTTTATAAAACTAATTGTTAAATAATCAAATGACAAAACGTACAATTCCAGCCCTCAATGCTTGGTTCTTCCACTTCAAATAAATCATCATTACGACTGACAGAGACGACCACATCCTGATCATTAGTTAAATAGTTGAATATAAGAATGTCTTGCTCCAGAATTTCTCCCCTTTTAATATGATGAGGTAAGTTTAATTGAATGAAGAATGGCAAGAAAACAGTAAGTTCAGGCTTGACATCAGGAAGACCCAAACCAAATTTACTATTCATGGAAACTCCACTAATAATGAACTTTGTAATTGTATCTGGTGGTGTAAATTTAATGATTTCTTCTCCTCGATTCCTTTGTCTCCTATTTCTGGGATTTCTAAATTGGAAAGAATGAAAATTAATGAAAGAAAATGTGAAAAAAATCAGAGGATCTTACTGCCTTCTGTTAATCTCAACATTTTGCCATAGGAAAGCTTCTTCAAAGTTTTTCCTAACTCTGGGAGAAGACGAGGCCTCTGGAGGCCCAGGTTCACCACCACCACCTCCACCAGCATTAGCACCATCTTCTGCTATTATTTTCGATGTAAAACATTTTTCATATTATTAATTACAATTACGCAATTTGAGCTCATTTTTACCTCTTGCATAATAAGGAAACGGAAATTCTGTAGAAAACAAAACAAAGAAGTTATTTCATATATAGCTAAAGCTTGAATAAATTACCAGTTGTGGTTGTTGTTCTTCCAGGATAGTCAAGAAAAACTTTCAATAAGAACATATTTATGTTCTGAAAAGTAATTTATCCAAATTATGCGAGCATAAAAAAAGCAAATTAAATCGAAACTTACGTTGAAGTTTCTAATATCTTGAGGTTGTCCCCACCACCCCCACCCTCTATCCCAAGGCTCGTCAAACCCAAAGTTTCTTTGGTTATATGCATTTAATAAATTGAAAACTTCATTCTTTTCAATATCATTTCCAGTTTGCAGAAGTAAAACACCTGTGAAATCGACTCAATGTTTTAAAATGTTATCACAAGTTTAATTATAATAATTACGCTGATCAATTGCCATTAATGAAACTGTTGATCTTCGAGCACTTTGAATTTTGAGTGAAACCTCATTTCCCGGTTCAACATTTGAAGACGAAAGTTCAAGATTGAGCTTAAAATGAAATTAAATCATGAAATCATTTATCAATCTTCAAAATCAAAAACTTTTTTCCATACGTAGTTAGGCAGTTTATCTGTAAAATCTATTCTGACAGTTCTTGTTGTTATGAATCCGTCATGTTCGTAGAAGAAAAAAATGATGTCGCTGTATGGTGCATAACTAAAGTTTGGAGTAAACTTTAACATTGCTTTGTTATTTCTGAATTTAATTGAATCGCTTTCAATCAAAATTCCTTTGCTCATAATTTTGTAGAAGCAACGTCGCAAATAGTCTTCTGAAGTTGTCACTTGTATTTTCACGCGAGATCCAATCGTAGGGCTGTATTCAATAAATTAATTGAAAAATGTAACAATTTTAATATTATTGACCATAATTGATTACTTCTCTGTAAGGACTTCTACATCCAATTTTCCTGAAGGTTGATTTGAGGTTTGTGGTCGAATTGTGTTGTAGCTTCTATAGGAAAGTCTTGATGACGTCTTGAGAAAAAAAGAACTGATAAGTTTGGGTTGAAGTGATTTCAATGAATTAGAAAAAATACCTGAATGGAAACTTGATCTGCAAACTCTGGATTAAATTCTATAGAAACAGAGCCAGTTGAATCAAGAGAATATTGCGAGCTGATGATAGTTTTTACTTCACAATTTTCATTTTCCCTATTAAAGCAGTTTGAAGCGATATCTACTTGAACAGATGTTCCTTGTGGTGCCTGTGGAATATTCAAATTTAAATGTTTTTCAAACAAAATGTAAAATTTTGTTGCTTACTGTTGTTCCGTCAAACTTCCGCAAAGTAATTGAAAATTCGTAAGGTGAGTTCTCGACAAAAGTTTGATCTCCATTGAAAATAGCATTATAAGCAAATTGCACAAAATTAATTGATGAAGTCACAGTTGACGTTTTTCCTGACACTGCATCTGTAAAGATAACTTCCACGTTGACAAATTTATTATCTTCAATGCCTAGATCATTCGCTATGTCAACTTCAAGAGTACCACCATTGCCTGATACAGAAACAGTCTTTCGAATTTCAACATTTTGGTAGCCTACGCGACTAACATATGTGCTGTATGTAAATATAACTTCAGCACTGCCTTCTGTTGCTCCCCCAAATGTATATTCAGCTGTTATTTTTACTGGGAAAGATGAGTCAGAAATTGCGACTTGATCTGCATGATCAACATCGATGGAAAATGTTGGAAGAACAAACTCTTGCACATCAAAATTTTTAAGGTATGTCTAAGTTTTAAAAAAC